GCATCCAACATTTGTCATTGTAGATGTTAGCTACACTTTGAGTCACTCTTACTACACAGGCACTAGTCTTGACTTTTTGGAAAAATGTGATCAGGCTTAACTGCTCTCAAACTGCGAGCTATCATCCCTGAGAACAAAACCACATAGGATCACATCTGGATTTATTTTTCTTGTCTTTTGACAAGATTCAAGTAGAAATGATTCTTCACTTTAAGAACTCTTTTCAACAGGATTTGAAAAGCAGAAATACAGATGTGTAATACTTTACTTCTGTCACTTGGACTTGTCTGTGGTGTATACATTTTTGTATCATTTGGTGTTATTTGTTTGTATGAAGAAGAAATTAAACCTCATATGTGAAAGCATCAGTTCATATACTTCATAATATGAATTGGTATTTCTAATAGGCCAGATGTTAATGGTGTATTTCTCTGAGGAATTCTGATTTACATCAATCAGATTAAAAACAGATTAAGCATTTTTACATACCATCTTTTAATTTTCCTATCAATAAAATTTTTGTTTAGGTGATTGTATAGGTCCTTTATATGTTCAGATCTATAATCCTAGAAAAATCTATATAGTCATATTATACAGAAGAAAAATCATATTCTTACAGAGGTTATTCTTACAAATCTCTGATAAAATCTACCCTACTAAAATTTAAGGCTAATAACTGTTTGGACATCTTTATTAACTAGAATATAATTTTTATATATACAGTTATAATGCAAAGTTAATGTTAAAAATACTAAAGAGCATGCATATGCATCTGTGTATGAGAAGTTAATGAAAAAATGAATATTAGAAGTGGAAATGATTTCATTATTTTTGTATTTCTCACTCTCTTCTGCATAACTGTTATATTTGGTCTCTAGGAAGAAGACTTTGATTCAGAAACCTCCCATAGTTTTGCTGGTCAATCAGTAATCAAGCCTTTGCAGGGAAGATGGTGTTTTGCTTCTACCCATTTAGTTTTTAGACTTTGTTTCTAAATTTCATGTATTTATATCTAACACACATAGTGAATATTAAGAACAATTTGCTTCTTAGAAAGTTCATGTAACTCCCTTTGGAGTTAATGGGAAAATTCACCTAAGATTACAATCCGAACTTAAGTAAATGCAGCTTTTTTATCATATTCTTCAAGAGCATGAATTTAAAAAGCATTGGTCATGAAGACAAATTTTAACGTAGTTTGTAGTTCTTCTGGGTTCATCGCTCAAATCTGGAAATCTGGGACAAAAAGTATAGATGTTGTGTTGAAAACAATTTTTTTAATGACAAATCAAAAGGAAATATTTTATCTTGGAAATTCTATTAATTCATTTTCCTGAACATACTTCCTTGAGTGTTGCCTTAGCCCTGCTTTTCTGATTCAATGTACGTAATATAACTAGAACATGCCATCTAGTGGCAGATTTCTCGTGTATTTATGCAACAATCTAAGATTTTGCAAATACTATTCAGCAATCAGTACACGGCACAAGTTAATAAAAATGTAAAATGGAATAATGATATGATGGACATGATGTGTTATTACCTGTTTCTAGTTAGCAGTGATACAGCCGTATTGTTTCAAATCCATAAAATACATCTTTTTAGAAATACACTGACAATGTCATTCAAAGCTAAATACTTTTTTTAAAATAATTGTCTGTAAGAAAAGTGTATTTAGATAGAAAAATAGAAGAACAGGTCATTATTATTGAGTATTTCAGCCAAGCCTAGAGGTTAGTCAGGGATCTCTTCTCTTACACATGTGGCAAATTTAAATCCAGCCTTTCAAAAATGAAATACACGCTTAGTTTTGCATAGTGTGGCTGACATCTATCCCCATTACAATCAACAGCAAAACTCAAGCAGATTTTTTACTACTTGTGAGGAAAACTAATTAAAGATTTTCTAATAAAACACTTTATTGGAAAAAGTGATTCAGCTAACAGAGCATATAAATGGACAATCCAATACAGGTTTCTTAGTCACATTTCAACCAAAATGAGAAATGACCTCTTGCTTCTTCCTCATCCTCATTTCAGCATTCCCAGCAGGGTTTGATGGATTTGCCCACGTAGAAAATATCCAGCTTCCCATCTCCTTCTTCCTCGTTCTGCACAGAAAACCAAGTGACAGTCTTGGCGCTGAGGAGGGAGCCGAGTGCTCGCCTCCTGCTAGTACAGTTTCCCATTGGAGCAATAGCCACAACAGTTCTATCCAACCGTGATCTGAGAGACGCAGAAGTCGTCCACAAAATAATTATTAAAAAATGCTTTGCACTGTCCCTGTAATTGTTCTTTTTTGTAGTTTCTTTACAATGTCGTAACAGGGCACGTTTTGCTGTCTTTTAGAGAGCGTCATCATTCATCAGTTACGCATGAACTCCAGATGAGCCTCGAGCCCCGATGGATGCTCTGTGTGTGCACTACCCTCCTCACCAGCTGGATGGATCACTGCAGCAGCTCTCTGCCGTCAACACCAGGGTCACTTGTGCTACTGATTTTTCTCGGAAGTACTTTATTGCTTCCACTAGGTTTTATATATATTTTTTTCTTGGTAGAACTTTTAAGAATGAATGGCCTTGCTGATTTTTTGAGAGTACATAGTCAGAGAGAGAGTAGCAGTCCTTCTGCCAGCTGAATTTCACTTTTATTTGCAAAGCCTAAAGCACGTGCTTGATTTTGTTTGATGTTTGCTATATAATTTATTTTTATAATACACTTTGTAATGTAACTGTCCCAGAGTTGCAATTCTTGTTGTCCATGGCGCATTTATTTGTAGAATACACTGTTAAATTTGCAATTCGATATTTTTGTAATAGAGAGTATGTAAAGAAAGTAAAATTTAACTTCAGCAACATTTTATCTTTAAATGGAAAAGTATTCAGCACAAATTTTGCCACCATATGATTCTGTGAGACTAAATGCTCTGAAGACTGCTGTATAGAATTTGTACTGTTGCAGAATATTTCTTGCACTGTGTGATGGTTTGGCATAAAATTAAGTGCTGAAGTCCAATGCCTTGAAATACAACCAGAATTACTCATTTTAAACAATGTAAGCCAGTTTTTAAAGCTGTGATTTTTTTTCTATATAACGTATGTTTTTACTTCTGCCTGTACCAAAAGAGTTGATTTTCATTACACTGTAATTAATAAATTTTCACAACTATGCAAATGTAATCAAGTGTTTGAATTTTAACTCTAGTGTCTTAAGGTTGACAGTATTCACATATCTTTGTTTACAGGGACAGAAAGCATGGCTTTGATACTTGCTTTTTCTTCTGCTTGGCATTTCAGAAAAGTAAAATAGAGAGTAAAACTGATTCAAACATTGTTTATGATATGAAGAATGTATCTCCAAGCACTTAATGGTGTATCTGTTTCTAACTTTGTGCTTTCACTGCACTGGCAAATCCGTCAGCTGTGTATGGTGGGGACGCTTAGTGCAAGCCTGGTAGGTGTAAGGGAGATGCCAGGCACTCTGCTGTATCCTGAACTGAGCATTTCTCACTGGTGGCTGTAGCTTCTCAAATAGCGTCTGGAAAACTCTGTGGCAGCAATGCTTAAAATTATTTTTGAGTGAATTATGTATATGAAGCCAGATATAACCTATAAAATATCTTTTTTTCTTATGTATTCTATAATGAATTATTTCCAGTTTAAATCACTGATATATTCAAAATACTGCAGTCTTTAAATTGTAGAAGCTACTGGGAGCAACAGAGTGATTTGTATTTTTTGGAAGATAAAGCAGTGTTGCTTTGCAGCAGGAGCTATGCCAGAAGGAGCATTAGCTCAGTGTCCCGCTGAGATGGCTAGAACAGTTCATCTTTGAAGCTGTAATAACGCATTGCTATGAAGTCAGTTTGATCTTCATGTTTTAGCTTGCTTTCCAGCCATGGGAGCTGTTTTCTTCCTAGACCAGAGTTCTGCAGCAAATGCTGAAATTGTAAGGTGACAGGGTATCTTGGGCCTGTATAAGCTTTCTTGGGGTTTATCTGCACTGTAAAAACTTTACTAATATGGCTATACTCAGCAGTCTAAACACAATAAATGCCATTTATACTTGCGAAAGAGTCATTCTGTTGGTAGAGCTTATACCATTTCCCTGTCCAGGCATATTTTGCCTATACCAGGACTTAAGTTGGTACGCCAAGTTTGTTTTTTCTTAACCAGGAGTGCTTTTTCTTAAAGCAAACACTTTGTGTCAGTAATATACCTGTGTCTGTAGATCATGTAAATCATGTCTTACTAGTCAAAAAGAATTCCAGCTTGCAGAGAGTGATGGGACCGAGGTGAATCATGTTTAATACATTCCACTTACTTCACTGTGTGTATCGTAGAATAGTTAGTATGCAGATCTTCTCTTTTCTAAAGTTATTTGTGAATCAACGCCTACCTGTATTAACAGCTATACTGAGCTCATCTGGAATGAAACTGCCAGCTATTTAAAAGGCACGGTGACATGCCTGGAATAAATAAACTTCTACTTTTAAATATGCGTAAAACATAAAAAGAAACCCCTTATTCTGAATTTGAGCCTAAGTTTTAAAAGGTCTCAGCAAAGGTAGAAAATATTTTCCTGTCTAGGAATCCTTTCATATAAAACTCGTTTAGTGTAAGTCTTCCCCTTTTGGTTGACATATAGATACACATCTAGGATTCTGAAAACCCCTTAAGATTTTAAGCTTTTTTAAAATAAAGGTTTTTAAAGCATAAATGTATACTTGAATCCAATTACTTAAAAAAAAAAAAAGATTAACTGCTGCACGTTGGAGTAGGTCCCTGATCACGCTGGCCATACAGAGCAGTAGTGTTAACTACTGTCTCGTTGCTGAAGATGGCTTCTGTGGGTAAAATAATAATTTTTGACTGATCTGACACCTGAAAGCAGCTATGTGTTCAAAATAATACATCAAAATATATATCGGAATGCCTGGAGGGTAAAACCCAGGTATGTAAAGGGTGCTTTGAATGGTGTACTTCCAGTGGTGCCCTTCCAAAGTTTTCATGTCCCTGTTTTTTTTTAAAAAAATGTTTTTTGTTTTTTTTTTTTAAAAAAACATTAACTAACTTGGATTTGAATTTAGAGAAAGTTTGTTAGCCACATAATTAGCCTATACTTTGCACACTCTGGACAAAATGTATTAGTATAGTTTGAAAAGGTGGTTCATTCTATAAGTGTTCTCTTTTGAAGGAAATAATTATAAAGTTTTCCGGTTAAGACAATACAGGCTTTGGACATTCATAACTTTAAACAATTGAAAATTAATGAAAAATCTGCTTTTCTCTTAAAGAACTCATTTTTTAATAGAGGTTGGAAAGATCTAGGTTAGCGTAATTATATGTGATAACATTAAAAGTTTCAGTCTATTAAAAAAGAAACAAATTATTTAATTTCTTGAGAAAAACATTTTTTATAGTCAGAAAGAGTTTTGCATTTCCCTCATCTTGAAACATAATTAGACACAAGCAGGAGATAAAACTGCTTGCTTTATACAATTCCCTGTAATGCAGAAAACAAGCTGTAAGTAGAAAATTGAGGCCATTGTCCTGAATTCTCCACTCTCTACTGTGAATTGCTGAGTTTGATCTCTTTCTCTGGACATTAATATTAATTTCTAAGTAGATGGCTTGTATTTAAAGGTTATTTTTACTTAGAAATGTAGATTTGCTTTTTAACATAATCTATTTGGCAGCTGATGCATTTTACCTGCCTTAAGAAGTTTACTTTATAAACTGCTGTGTTATAACACAGCATAAAGTTTTATTTGTTTGGAATTTAAGTTAATGAATATTAGTTTTTTAAATCTTTCCTAGAAGTAAGTTCGCAGCGTGACAGGGTAAGTGCCAGAAGAAGATCCTTTGAGGGCCTTAATGAAATACAATTACAAAATAACTGCCAGTTGGGAATCTTTTAGACTAACTACAATACATTTGTATTTCTACCCCTGAAATCACACTTGAGTTTCCAAATTGAAAATCTGAAATGTTAATATTTATTCTTAAGAAGTCAGGTATGTTTTCTTCTTCCTTGCCTTAAAAGATTAACAGATATAACATACTGAGGCTTCAGCTCTGTAGCATGTCAGTGTTACAGACAGTGAACTCTATGAAGTGTAATCATGACAGTGCAAACCACCTAGCTGTAAAATACTGTGAATACTATTTTTTTTTGTACTTTATTGAATATAAATGAACTTGCATTAGCATAAACCTCTGGAAGAACATCCATCCAAGGTCCTAGCTTGCAGTAAAACCAGTATTATGAAATATTTATGCTGATTTCTCAAAAGAACAGAAGATATATCCTGCGATTGCATCCACACTGATTGATACTGCTGTGATTATTTTGGCAAAGAGAAAAATCATGTCGATTCTAATTAACCAGTTAAACTCTCAGGACAAGTCATTCCCCTCACCCCATACCTAGTTTTTTGGCTAAAAGGCGGTATTCAGAGAGTGCCTGTGTCCTTCCAACGTCCTGATGGGTCACCAACGCCTAGCGGTTTCTGTTCCCTGCTCCAGGGGTTCCCCTCAGCCAAACATCTTTGGGCCCACAAACTACCTGCCTCCTGCAGCCTCCTGTATTTTAAACACCTTTTACCTACCCAGAGGCTCTGCCTGCCTGTCTGTTGCGGAGATTAAAGGCTGCTACTGCAGGAAGGACTGTGTGTTTCAGACCCTAAGTGGGCCATCAACACACCATGGCCCCAGGCTCCCCATTCCACCTCCCAAGCACTCTACCGGGAGGAAAGCAAAAAGCTGTATAGACAAAGGATAAATTTTAAATGGCAAAACTGCAGTAGCTATGCAGAAATGTGTGAATTTAAGTGTTCAAACAACACAACCTTATCCCCAGAGCAGATTAGCATGGCCCATAGCATGTTAAAGGGCAGTGTACAACGTGCATGCATATGTTAATAGGGCGGCAATGTGGAAAAATGGGAGGCAGCAAGTCAAATGCAAATATGAACCTGTGGGCAAACATGGCCCACTGGGGTGTAACAATAATAATATCTGGTCATAGAGGCCTAAATGCAGTCACAGACACAAGGCTCATGGTTGTGCGTAGCACAGCACAGGCCCTGGTGGCCCCCACAGCCTGTTGCTCTAGTCCAATCTGGGTGCCTAAAGAGGACTCTGTAGATTGGGGATGGACAGCAGGAGGAGCCTGGAGAGGATCAGGATGAATTATCTTTCTTCCTCTGTCTCCTTCTGCAGCTGCCCCGTCACCTGCAGCTACCTGGGGGGCTCTGGTGGGACCAAAAGCCTCTCACGGAAGCTTTTGTTCCTACCATCCCTCAGGGCCTTCTGCTCTCCTGCGCACTGGCGCTCACTGCCTTGTTTTGCAGAAAGGGAGCCTCCCTCCCCCCATCCTTTTGGCTGCCTTTGGGGCAGGGGGGTGATCTGCAGTGCTGATGTGTGCTGTACCATCACCCGCTGTGTTCAGAAAAGGCAGGGGCTTAGTGTGGAAACCAGGGAGGCTGTTATAAAGATGTTTTCTGGTGTAAACAGTGGAATTCTCAAGATACCGGGAGATGTCCTTTTAAAAGCCTAACAGTCCATTGCAATCAGGCTGCAGTCCTGATCATCAGTGCAGCACTGAAACTCAATGTCTGAGTATCAAACAAGTGCAATGCAGCCTTTCTCCTGCCCTTCACAGAGCGGTATTGAAAAGGAGGACATTTCCCAAGGTTGGAAACTGAGGCTTTGGCCAGGACACTCCTGATCTTTGCTGTGGTGAGGCGCCCCTCAATGTGTCCTCTGGGAGGAACTCTGCAGGGTAATGAGGACAGTGCCATATAGTGCACTTTTCTCCAGACTTCTCCATATGGCTGCCAATTAGCCTTAATTACCTGTGACTCCATTTATCTTACACAGTGAAGGGTGATTGCCCTCAGATGGTTACCAGAGAAGAGTAGTTGTCACTGAGTGATTTAAGATTCTTTAAGCAAGACAACAGGAGACAGGGAGTGTAACAGTTGAGGAAGAAAAAGTAACTCCTAAAAAAAATTACCTGGTTTAGACCAAGAACTGAAAAAAATATAAAATGTGATCAGACAGCTTGTGAAAACATAAGCAAGGACGAGCTGAGTCTACCTCTGAAGTATGCCACCTCCAGACTCCCAGTTCTAGGAGGATGTCTGGCCCAAGAGCTGGTGACACGTGATGAATGGAGAGGATGCATTGCTGCTTGGCTTTACATAGGTGTGTATGTATGCACTACAGTGTATCCACTACAGTGTGTCTTCCACCACAATTGGCTGTTGACTGCTCAATTCCTGCAACCCAGATTTATCCCTTTGGCATCCCTGGGATGACAGGGACTGCAAAACAAGCACTGGATCAGAGGGGCATTTGATGCTTGGAGACTTCTCCAAGCTCTCTGTAAAACCAGCCCAGCTGCCATGCCATCCTTCAAGAAAAGGGTTTGGCTCTTCAGGAATCTTCCTTGGATCCTAACAGGCACCTCATTGGATTTTCTGGGAGGCTGAAGAAGTTTCTGAAAGAACTGAAAGATGATAGTAGATAACTAAAGATCATGGAGAAGGTAAAACCCACTAGAAGAGAAACGGCAAATTAGGAATAGCATATACTTGTAACACAAATATGCTATATATGTTTTTTTCTAAAAAATTTCCATGCAGTTTTCAAAGAGAGGGACAAGCTTTCCTATCCATAGGAGGGGGTTTGCATTTGCACAGGCATAAGGAGCTGTTAGGTAGCCAAGTGCTCCCTCCAGTGGCCTTTGGAGATACCTCCAGCCTCCGGACGGCTAAAATACAGGCACGTTTTAAGACGTTTGTTCCCCTGGGCGTGTAAAAAGTCTTAAGCAGACTTTTAAAAAGTTTAAAAAGTTTCAATCAGAATGCTTACTGAACAGTATACAGGTACATAGACAGTTACTAGCCTTTGGCCAGGCTGCTCTATACAGTCTTTACGAAACTAGCTTTTAATGTAAAAGCACCAGCAGGCGATGCGGATACGACGCGGGAGGAGGCCGTCTCTCTCTCCCAGCGCCCCCCTTGGCGCGCATGGGGACGGCCCCGA